TCGACGGTCCGAAAATCAAAGGACCAGAAGTCGACGCCCCCGGACCCGAAGCCGACGCCCCCGGACCAGAAGTCGATGGTGGTCAATGCCCGGTCCGGTCCTGTGGTCGATGCCCCTTCCTGTTCTGAAGTCGATGCCCCTTCCTGTTCTGAAGTCGACTCCCCTTCCTGTTCTGAAGTCGACGCCCCTTCCTGTTCTGAAGTCGACGCCCCTTTCTGTTCTGAAGTCGACGTCCCTTCCTGTTTTGAAGTCGACACCCCTTCCTGTTCTGAAGTCGACGCCCCTTCCTGTTCTGAAGTCGACGTGCCCGAAGTCGTCTCCTCCTCTGGGGTCGACGTGCCCGAAGTCATCTCCTCCTCTGGGGTCGACGTGCCCGAAGTCGTCTCCTCCTCTGGGGTCGACGTGCCCAAAGTCGTCTCCTCCTCTGGAGTCGACGTGCCCGAAGTCGTCTCCTCCTCTGGGGTCGACGTGTCTGAAGTCGTCTCCCAGGTCGACGTGTCTGAAGTCATCTCCCAAGTTGACGTGCCCGAAGTCGTCTCCTCCTCTGAAGTCGACGTGTCTGAAGTCGTCTCCTCAGTCGACGTGTCTGAAGTCGTCTCCCAGGTCGATGTGTCTGAAGTCGCCTCCCAAGTCGGCTTGTCTGATGACGTCGCCTCCCAAGTCGGCTCGTCTGATGACGTCGCCTCCCAGGTCGGCTCGTCCGATGACGTCGCCTCCCCTTATGTCGACGCCTCCCAGGTCGCCTCGTCTGAGGATGCTCCTTCCAGTCCAACGTCTCCACCGTCTCCCGTTCCGATGGTGGTTCTGGAGGTCGCTCCGGCCCAGCCTGCAGAGACTTCGTCACCGGCCCAGCCTGCAGAGACTTTGTCACTGGCCCAGCCTGCAGAGACTTTGTCACCGGCCCAGCCTGCAGGGCTCCTCTATCGTAGACGCAGGCCCCCAAGGGTCCGTCCTCGTCTCCTCCTCTGCCGCAGGCGCCAGCCTCCAGAGGCCCGTCGCCTCCTCATCTGCCGCAGGTGCCGGCCTCCAAGGGCCCGTCGCCTCCTCATCTGCCGCAGGCGCCGTCCTTCAAGGGCCCGTTGCCTCCTCTTCTGCCGCAGGCGCCGGCCTCCAAGGGCCCGTCGCCTCCTCTTCTGCCGCAGGTGCCGGCCTCCAAGGGCCCGTCGCCTCCTCATCTGCCGCAGGCGCAGGCCCCCGGACTCTGCTGATCCCTGCCGCCTCTCCATCGGTCCCTCGGTTCCTCTGGGCCCTCCCTCTGGGTCCCCCTCCTCCCGCCCTGCTCCTTGTTCCTGTGGGCGTCTGGGATCCGCCCTTTGGGGGGGGGGGGGGGGGGGGGGGTACTGTCACACCCTGTCCTGTCTCCCTGTTTAGTTCAGCTCAGTGTCTCGTTAATTACCCCCACCTGCCTCTTGTTTCCCAATCACCTTAACTCCCGGTCCTCCTGTATTTAAACCCCGTCTGTTTTGTGTCCTGTGTGGAGTCATTGTTCCAGTGTCAGCGTGCGTCCTAATAAACCTGTGAAGTTAATCCTACCTGTCTGCCTGCTTCCTCCCCGGTCTGGATCCTCGCCTTAGCTCCGCTCCACTCCGCAGCACGTTGTCACAATAAGCTAGATAATCATTAAATACATGTTTGTTTATTGCTACTTATAATAATTACAAAATAATGAAATGCTTTATTAATCTGTGCTCAATGATTGAAGTTTGAAATGAATGTTATGTTATGATTACAGTGATTGAAATATGTTTCAGCATGTTTATATGACAAGGTCATAACCATTTGCACTCACACAAGGACAAAGTTAAGTTAAGTTGAACTCATGACTCAGATAGTCCTTTACCCAGAACAGAGCGTCCGGTATCAAAGAAGGTGTGTGTTTCTGAGACTCTTGGTAATATTCCTCAAACTTGTCAACCTCTGGTTGGCTACACAAATTATAACATGAGAACATTAAAACCAGATCACTCTGGTGATTCCTCAGTTCTAGAGAAAGCTTCAGACCGGCCACCTGAAGCAAAAACCTCGTTAACCATCAAAGCTTTTGACACGTCGTCAAAACCTTTTTGCACCGGCGAAGCTGATAAAGCAAACAATTCCTGCAGAACAAGCTGATCTTGTTTAGACTCCATCAGAGTCCCAGACGCGCAGTTCCATCCATCTGTCATTACCCGAGACATCTCTGGACTGGAGAAGTCGGTGCTGTGGTCAATCTACTGGACCTTCGGTGCCAGAGGTCATCCGACCTCTCTGACCTTCGGATCCACTAAGAGGGTCTCCAGAATGGGTGAAGTAGACACACAGATAGCGTCTGGTGTGTTTTTGATAATAATCAACTTCATAGCTTAACGCAAACCAAATTCTTTAACATCCAGAACTCAGCTCTCCTAGATACGGAAGTTCTGATAACATCACATTCACACATAGGTTCATACATCACATTTAGTTCCATCCTTCACAGTAAATGCTTAGTTAACTTGTCATGTTCTAATTGTTGGTAAAATAAATTCTTACTTTTATAAACCTGACTCTTTTCTGAGTCAAAACGAAGTGTGTACAATCCCTTAATGAATAAAGAATCCTAGAATCTTCTGATAAACAGTAAAGACCAAGCAGGGTTGATATTCTATATTTAGATAGAGTATCACAGCTTATTGGTCATAAGTAGAGGTAATATATTTATATTGAGCTCTTAAAGCACTCAATTTACCAAACCCTACACTGCAAACTAATTGTTATTATTCAAAGTAGACAAAAATTATTTTTAATTCACCAATCTTGAGCACAATGGTGTCACACTTCCAGAGATCTGAAATAATTTAAACGTTTTTGTGCCTGTTGCACCTGCAGTTCAGTGACTCCTAAGATCTGTGTTTTTATCGAGCAACCTGCCCTTCTCTTCCTGGTTTAGATGCAACCTGTCATGGTCTGTGTCTGCGTCTTCCTCATGTGTCTCCTGGTGTTCCCCATTTGCCCTCTAGGTTTCCCTCCTCAGACTTCCCTCTCCCAGGTCCTGTGCTCTCTTGGCCCCCTCTTAGCCACACCCCTGTAGTTTATTTCTGTAGTGTTTTCCTTTAGTGTCAGCTTCCCCTTAGAATATTAGTTATGGTTCATGCCTTCTGGTCTTTTGTTTTTCTCTTAGGTCATTTACCTTTGTTACAGCCTTTCGTTATTTAGTGTGTTTTTTCCCACCAGTGTTTTCTTCCTCCTCCCTGAGTTAGTAATTGTGTTCACCTGGTCCCTCTCCCCACACACCTGCAATTCATCTCCCTCTCATCTTCTCAGTCTATATAAACCCTGTCTTGTCTCTGTGTGGTTGTCGGTCCATTGATTGTTGTCAGCGTTGTTTTGTTCTGTCGTTCCCGCGCTACCATTAAAACCATTTTTATTTCATCCGTGCCTGCATTTTTGCCTCCTGTCAGCTCCTCCACACATGGTCCGCCGTCATCCACACCCGCAACGTGACACAACCTGGTGCACAGAAGTGGCTCTCATTTAATGAGTCCCAAGTGTATTTACCTTTGCAGGTGTAATTTACACTAGGCACTAACTGCCTGGGTTGCAGGTAAGTTTGTAGCAAGCAATGGAAAACTACACGAGGTGAGATGATGATATTTAAAGAAATGATGAGCACGTAACTCCAAATGCAAGACGGCTAAATAAGTAATAAAGAGCAGCGCACCAGAAAGGAATGAAACTGCCTCCATGCAGCATGAATTTTCATCTTCTAACCTCATATTCAACAGATTTGTGACGATGAGCAGTAATTTCCATCTACCGATGCTTTAACCCTTATAACTTCAGTTAAATCATAATTAAGTGTGAGCTGATTCTGCTGCATCGTTTGGAAAAAAAACTCAATTTCACAGTAAACTGTTACCTAAATGTAACATCTTCTGATGGTGTGTGAGGGGACTGTGTAGGCACCGTCGTCATGGCTGGATGGCTTCCTGAAAGAAGCGACTATTTTGGCAGGAAAATACGGTCACACCACTGAGTGAATAGGGGGACTTTAGAGATGAGAGTGGAGATAAGAGTATGGAGAACATTCCATTAAAGACAGAGATGATATCAAGCTCAGGGATTCTGCACCGAAACCCACCGCAGCACCCATCAAGTGCAAGGTGTTTCTGTTACCATGGTACCCGGCACAGGCAGCCCCTTTCATGTCTGTCAAGATGAGGAGGGAGGAAAGGCAGGGACCAGCTATGTGTTGCTCTTGGCAACAGCTGGAGAGAAATGGACATGCAAGTGTGTGTGCGTGCATGTGTGTGTTTGCTCTTAAAGCTGCATGTATGTTCCCAGCTGAGAGTCAGGCTTTAAGATGCTGCGTGCTGACAGAGGCTTGTCACACGACATGAATCATTCAGTCACCACAGCAGAGCTGGAAATGTCACATCTCATTAGCGTTTCTCATGCCCCAGTGCCCCGACTTCTCCAAAGTTAAAGGGAAGACTCGATTAAAGAGAGAAGCTGAGATTTTTTTTTATGCAAACAGACATTTATTGCATTGGGAAGCAGTGTTGTACATCATCCCCACAAAAGGTAATAGTAATAGTAGTAATAATTTGCAGTAATGTAGCACTTAACAAGATCATAGTCTGTTGTGCAATGGTTTGAGCCTGGTGTCTCATCAGGACAACGTGATGCATTTCAGATGCTCAATGGGATTGTTTGCCCATCGCTTTTCCCATTTCTGTCTCCTTACATATCTGATCTCTCCAAAGAGTCGGATGCTACTTCCTCACAGTGGAAAATGCTGACTTTACCTTCCTTGGCAGCCAGATAGGCAATACAATAACAACAGGAGAAACAGTACAAGCAACGTGTCCAAAAAAGGAAGTCAAGCTACCTGCTACTGTCTTTATCTTTCTGATACAAAACTAGATTTTCATGTATATATATTTTTTTGCTACAGATTCAAAAGTTTGTATTTTTTTAAACAAAAGTAACATCAAATACATCATTCCTTATTGTAAACCACAATCAACACTAAAAGTAAATAGTACTTCATCATGATTTTTATTACAAGATAATAGGCCACTGTACAAATTAGTGAGAATCGTACAGTACAACGCAGATTTAAGACTGTTTCTTGAGGTTCATCATTCAAAGCTGTATACGAGGTTCTTCAAGAATACACAAGAGTTTCAGAATTGCTGCCATGCATGCATGATTTCATATTTGCCATGCATGAGTTGGTAATTAAGTGTTTTACGAAAGAGCCCTAAAAAATAAGGAGAAACAAAAAAGGCAACCCAACTAAAACAACTGAACTCAGTGAGTAAATGTATAAAGCACGAGAAAAAAACAAGTACACACCCATCATAAAATTTGGCACACACACAGTAATGCACAATGCAATATAAATATTTTGTTTTTACAGTCAAGTTACAGTAGTATTCAGTCCAGGTGAAAGCCTGGGAAGCTTACAAACAGGTGGGAAGTACACTGTTTTAGAAATGACTCGTTCAGCTGCAAAGTATGGTAAGAAAAACACTCAGGCAACATCAAGAAGTCTTAAAGTGAAAAATAATATCACTCTCATTTGCTCAAAGTTTGCTCAGCATACAAAAAAGGATAAATAAATCTCCCTCGGGCCTGAATCACTGCAAGACATAATCCCAAGGATCAATAAGAAATAAAGAACACAGAACAAACCAATTTACCAGTTCTCATTTTGTGCAAGAAAATATGGGCTACCCTTTCCATATTTACAAACTGTGTTATTCACTTTTGCCCTCACCAATATGAAGAGCAGAGAACGGTATAGGTTTGCTTGAGAAGATATAGAGTGTGTGCTTTAGTTTTTGATAGTAAGATATACTTCTGTAATCCAGTCCCTGATTCTGTAAATAGACAGCCGAACCTCCATCCTCCACTTCACCCCCACCCCATCCTCCTCCTCCCCTTTCAACCTCTAGTGTCTTCGGATTTATGGCGAAACCCTGTCATCAAGGGTGTGTTTGTGTGGGTGTTGAGGGGGGTCCACCTGGGAGTCTCGGCTGCCATCTCCCACCCTCTTCGTGTGTGTGTGTGTCTGTTTGTGCATGTGTTTGTCATCCGACAAGACATGAGTGACTGGGAGAGAAGGGTGTGGAAGTGTTGCTTGCTGCCTCATAAGAGAAAGTGCTTATATACATTGTCTTTGGCTCAAAACTGGTAAATATCGCCATTAAAAAAATTCAAGAGTGTCTGTTTTTGTTTTTGAAGGTTGGGGGGTGGGGTGGGGTGGGGGGGGGTGGCGTTGAGCTCTAAGCCTCTGATGAAGTCTTCTCTGATCCATTTTTCTGTGCTTCGCCGTCGCCATTCTCATCCTCGATCACAACTGTGGATGACAGGGGAGGGAAAGTTAATGAGGAGGGGTGGAGGAAGGGGAGGATGGATGCATGGATGGAGGAATGGATGCATGGATAGATGGAATGCAAGGATGGATGGATGGATGGATGGATGGACAAAGGGGATCTCATTTTGTTGTGGCATATTGTAAATTCTGCATCAACAAACAGGAGGGCGTTATAAGCCGAGAACCATTAGCACTGTGTGAGCAGAGCTGATGTGTGCATGCATGTGCAACAAAAAAGGACGGGTTTGTGTGTGTGTGTGTGTGTGTGTGTGTGTGTGTGTGTGTGTGTGTGTGTGTGTGTGTGTGTGTGTGTGTGTGTGTGTCCTGTGCACTGCTGCAGATGTGTGGATGTTTGTGCACCTCTGAGCACCTACAGGTGCAGTTCTCCCATGTCTGCCTCTCTTGTTTGTCTATGTTCTGTCTGTGTGCGCTGTATGGAGCTGCTGCCTGCGCGTGCATGTGAAATCCCTTTGTTTAGTGTATTTTTTTACTAGTTATTATTTGAGAAATGCATGGGAAAAATGAGAAAGAATAGGCAAAATCTAAACATCATGCAAACACAAATAAGAACTGCTCTTAATCACTCATTCATTCCAACCTTTCATTTGGGGAGGGGACACGAAGCACAGCTCTGTTAGGACACATTAAAACATCATGCGATGCGCATTCAACTCGTGTTGCAATGCGAACAGAATATTTAACAGTCCATTAATCAAGCCTGCATGCAAACATCACACTAACAACACCTTTACTGAGGAGAAATCTCCACATATCATGGTATAAACAAAGTGCGCATTCACCACATCACCATCATGCAATCGAAAAACGATTTAATTACATAATTACCCCGTTTGCTCCTGCCTATTTGTCCGAGTTTGGGCGGACGCTTATTCTGTGCGCCATTGAAGAAGTTGTTGGTGTCTTGAAGACGACAGGTGAAGGAAAGGTGTTCCTCGTCGCCCTCATTTCCATAATGACTCATTTTCTCTTCGTTGAAAGGCAGTACTTCCGACATCTCCAAAATGCGTCTTAATCACCAAGGCGCACCAGATGAAATGTGGGCTCGGTTTCTTCGCCAAGCTTAAAACCAGTCTTCGGTGGCAAACATAAAAGAAATCAACCCTCCAAAATGAAAAATAAAAATAAAGAGAGGCAGAGAAAGCAAATGTGTTGGCACGACCTAGCCCTTTCTGTTTACCCCGAGGACACGTGTATCTCCCATCAGAAAAATGAAAATAAACACAGATCAGTGGAAGTCTTCAGTTTCCCCGCTCGTGGAGCTTCGGTAACATTATCAATAAAAAGAAATTGAATCCAGAGGTTTAATTCTGTCTGCGCGTTTGTCTTTTTCGGAAATGGAGGCGCGCGTGGACAGGAGCCGTGACGCGCCCGCTGGTTCGGAGCGGCTGATCCCGTCTCACGGAAAATCTGAGGAAGAAATGCAAATCGAGGAGCGATGCAAAACACGGAACCCGGGGAGACCTGACGAGGGAGCTGAGTGAACGGGGCGGGGTGACGGGGGGCTGCTGCTGCAGCCGGGAAGTGTCCAGGTGCGCTCTCAGTGGTCTGTCCGCAAACAAAAGGCGGTCTTTAAAGACAAAAATCTCCTAATTCGATCTGAATCAGAATTAGTTTTTGTTAATTTTGCGCCACCACTCGACCAGTCAGAGGTATGGACATCCTCAGGCAGTCTGAAGTGATGCTGTGGTAGGTTTTGAGCTCAGACCCCACCAGAGGATGGCAGCATTCCCATGAACTGAAATGTGACATTTGGCCCCGCGGTGCACTCCCTCACTTTTATTTTCTGTCATTCTGTCTCTTTATTAAATGGATTTTTCTCTGTGTGAATTATTTTTGTGAATTATTATTGTTTTCTCATGAAAATAAGTGATTTATTCCCACTCTGTGCAATTTATTACTGTTACTTCTAATTTTCGTAACAGGCTATGTGTTACAGTGATGCTTTCTCTTTACATTGTATTCATGCGCAGCAAAAAGATGGTGCTTTAAATGTTAGACACGTTCAGTGACAATTCCTGCTTCTGTTTGTCACACTTAAATGTTTCTGGTCAGCAAACCCATTTCAAAAGCAAACAAAAAATAACTGGTGCACATAAAACATGGATTCTATGGGGCAAGATGATTACGTTGAAGGGGTATCTCTTTAATTCTGGTGTAAAACTAACACTGCATTTCAGAAAAGGAACACAGAACATGGTGGTGGTAGTGTGATGGTCTGGAGCTGCTTTGCTGCTTCAGGATATGACTGATGGAGCCATGAGTTCTGTTCTCTACAAGATATCCCTAAATGACAATGTCTGACCTTTGACCTTAAACAGATGGGCTATTCATGCTGTAGAACACCACCTTCTGACATGGAAGGATAAAAAAATCAAAGATGAACAGTCAGACAAAATTCCTCCACAGTGATGTGAGACTTGTTTTCAACTTGTAGTTAAATGTGGTTCACTTATTTAATCAACACATTTGCAGTAGTCTAGTAGGAATGAAGGCCTTGTAAGTCATATTTAGGCAATTAAAAGCTCACATGGGCCTGTTTCAGGAAGTACAATTCAGCTGGAGTAGACTTGGATTTGGAGTCTTATTTCCTGATATTTGGACACCTTTAAGTTGAAGAGTCAGTTACATCTGTCCACAGGTCCATGTTGGTTTGGGTAGCTTTATCTTTTAAGTCATTTGTCATCTGAAAAAAACATTTCATATTTAGTCACATAATTTTTGTCTAATTCTAATATTTGTTTGCTGAAATAGCAAAACTGAAATAAATTTGGATGAGGACTGTTATGGAAATTTTATATTTCATTGCTTTAATCCTATTCTCAAATGTCCTGAAGCATTCTCACACTCAGACAAACCCACACACTGTTCTTCACACACACACACACACACACACACACACACACACACACACACACACACACACACACACACACACACACACATTCTCTCACACAATGACCTCACTCCCATTCTTAACTATTTGTTTAAATAAACTCTGTGATCAGATGTTTGGGGCATTTTGCCTCGTGCATGTGCCACAGTTATAACTGGTTGACTCGTCTGCTCGTTGTCTCCTTCTCTCTTCACTACAGGAAATGGGTTTATTGATAAACGTATTGATAAAGTCCCTAACAAGGACAAATATATTTTTCACGTCAACCAACATTTAAACTCTTTGTATTCAGTTTTGAATACACACACTCCCCAATATTATCAGAACATGGAAAACAAAACACGCCACATTTGAGAATCCCTTTGCTCTGAAACGTCATCACGATATAGTTTTGTTTCAGTCGTTATGGTGGGTCAACCAACTGTGAACTCAATGTGGTGTTACAGTAACACCAGAGGTGTCCAGTGTCCAGAACAGATAATGGAAACCGGTTCAAATTAATTTGTCCTTCTGGGACCTTTTAGTTTTATTTTTTTAAGACAAAAACAAGTTGTGTGATGTTCTGCCTACAATGTTTACAATGATTATAAAATAATCTTCAGTGTAACTAATAACATAATGGGATGCATTATACAACAGGCACAGGTGATAACAAAACAATTCTCAGAAAAACCCCAACAAAAATGATTGGACAGACAATAACATGACAAAAAATATGAGCCTGCAGCAGAAGTGACTTCTATTGAATTGCCGGAATGACACACCTAATCCCTTAGGACTCAACCCTGCAGCAGACAGGTCTTCACAATATGTTTCATTGTATGTTTGTCTGTTGGTGGTGTAAATACAATTTAATATAATATAAATGTAGCGGAGAATTAAGACTACACACTGAAATCACCTCTGTTGCTATTCAGTGGAGATTCCGAAAAATGACCAATCAGATTAACCTATGAAGCTTATATATCCCGGATACTTATATATCGATCTAAGTTCATACATCAACCTGTTTGATGTAATTTTAATCCAAAGAGTAATGTTTAATCTAGATAATTAAATTTAATAGCAAAAGTTATTTTAAGTCAGAAGCTAGGATCTTTGCTTTCAAATAACCAGAAATATTATACCTTTTCTGTGTTTCATTTCAATAATGAGGCAAGTTTAAAAATGAAGAAATTTTATTACTAACAATTTTAAACTGAAAGATTTGAAACAACAATTATAAAATGACAATTCAAGGATGACAATTTTTAACAGCTTTGATATTAAACTTGTTTTAAAAGCAAACCTGTGCCTGAATGGAAGCTAAATGGAAAATACGAGTTTAGATGCGTGGATGAAGTTATGAGAAGGTTTCTTTCACAGAGAGTTGGAAGCGTTCTGGATGAAAATGATGTTTTGAGGCTAACTGAGTCATTTAGAGAGAAAACAGCATCAAACACATTCTGTCGAGGTCTACCTCACCCAATCAGAAGACCCCCGTTTTGGATCCGAAGTGTCCAGGTGGAGATGGGTTTCCTCCAGGCACGAGGTTGGTAGAAAAACCTCTGGCACGACCAGATCGGTCCTGAGATGTCTTCTTGGGTCACTCGACTGTCAAGCGTTTGGCAGATGGACATTCTCGTCTTAACTTAACTCAGAAATCAATGACTCTGGGTAGAGCCTTTGTTAGCTGGTTACAGTTTGTTTATTCTTTAGCTATTCTGGTCGGCGTGACTGAACAGCAGGTGGAGGTTTCAGGGCGGCCGTTCCCTTTTCCTCCTTGGTGTTGGTTCAAGAACTGGCTCTGAAGCTGGTGATGGTTACAGTTTTACCAAGCTCCAGGACACTCCCACTCTCTCAGGAAGAAAGCTTTGATCATGCCTCAAAAACATACCTTCTGATATGCTGAACACATCTTTTACTGTCATCACAATAATAATAATAATAATAATTATTATTATTATTATTATTATTATTATTAATCATTATTATATCCAAAGCATAATGATCCATTTCATGTAATTAAAATACCTTTATACTGAACGAAGTGATCACTTATGAGATTATGTTAAACAGTAATAAAATCAATGAGTTTTATTAATTATTATCTAATTATTATCATGTGACTTGTCCTCTTCCTGGGATGGAACAGCAGCAGATATGGTGATATGATCTTGAGCAGACATCGTGGCTCCTTGGGTTAATCTGTGGATTTAAAAGTACTGTTTGACCCAGTTTGACCCAGCTGGGTAGATGTGACCTTTGCCACAAATTAGAGAACCTTCATCACGTTACATAATATAATATAATATAATATAATATAAAATAATATAATATAATATAATATAATATAAATTAATATAATATAATATAATATAATATAATATAATATAATATAATATAATATAATATAATTTAATATAAATAGAGTGCTCTGCTATCTCCTGGATGCTATACCAACAACAGCCAGTCAATTTTTTGTGCCATAAATGCCAGCCCTGTCTATTGTCTATTGACAGGGAGCTAATGCAGGAAGTAAGACTAGAAGAATATTTTCACATTTGCATGTGCATGTGAAAATCAGATTTACTGATGACATTTCAAAAATAACAAATGAAAAAAGATTTTTGGGTGAAGTTCGTCTTTAGATTCTTCTGTGTCTGTAGCAGCGTGGATAGGAGCCGTACATGGTCTGATCCACCCAGCGGTGGTGACACAGCTGTGTACACGCCAGGAAATTTGGCATCTCCGCATCCGTTGCCCCATGAAACCACGCCATACACCTGGCCCTTGCACACCAGCGGCCCGCCTGAGTCTCCCTGCAAGGACGAGAACACACCCTCTATCAGTTATCATGTCACAATGTTCCTGATGAAAGAAAGCTCTCAGTTTGAGGCAGTGCTGTGGCACCTGTGAGGAAAATGTTGGTTGTCCTGGTCATGTAAGGTTATCTTTATACCTGAAAAGGGTGGAAAAGCTGTGCAGTTGTCAAACATCCTGTCCTCAACAAGAAATTACTTTAAAAAATCAGAAATAATTTTTGGAATGATCTTCCTTTATCCTTACATAGGATTGACAGTCTGTACACCTTTACAAAACAGCTGAAGACCCTTTTATTTAAAGCAGGTTTAACATAAATCTTTTATTTTCGTATTTTAACTCAAATTTGTAATCATCTTTAATTTATTTCATGGTATTTTGTCATTTTATGACTTTGTTTTTATCTTTGACATTATTTGTTTGTTTTTTTAATCTATTTGAAGCACTTTGTTATTTTCTGTCTATGATGAGTGCTACATAAATAAAATTTACTTACTAAAATCAATCAGTGAGCAATGCTCAAATATCACCTTTAAATTAAAGATCAAACTTTGGTCATGGTTCAACAATAAGAAGGCAATGAGACTAAACTGGCCTCCATGGGAGATTTCTGAAACCTCTGTTGTTCAAAAAGGAACCCGAAGGCTTGTCTCATGTTTGCAAAAATTAAAGTCTGTATGATCCTCAAGATTTTTGGGAAAACATTCTACGGACTTTCTGGAAGGTGTGTGTCCTGTTTACATCTGATGTAAACCTGAGTTTGCATTTAAGAACATCATATGGCAACAGTCAAACATGGTGGTGGCAGTGTGATGGTCTGGGGCTGCGTTTCTGCTTCAGGACCTGGAGGACTTGCTGTATGTTCTGTAGCAGGAAATCTTGAGATGGAATGTCTGACCTTTCACCCCACAAAGGAAAATAATTCTGCTAAAGAAATTCC